TACAAGAAAAAGATACTGGTATATTTATTAGCAAATGAGAGTCCAAATATTATTAAGAAAATAAAATAATACTAGTTTCAAATCATCTAAAATACCTCCAACATATATATGATTTTCAGATTAATCCTGTTAATTCATAACTAAAAAGGGATAACATCTTCATTTTTCAGAGATTAACTGGAATAGAAAAGTTATAAATATGCCTGATAAAAAGTTGTTACTCTCATCATTATAAATTCAGGTAGGATGATAGACTTGATTTTTGGATTGTAAGTTAATTCTTTATTGGTAATATCTCTATTATTGAATTATGATAAACAAATAATCATTAATTATAAAAATTAACTTAATTGAAGAGTATTAAAAAAATACATTACTATTTTCGTAATTTGGAAATTAAGTATTTGAGTTTGATTTCAATGAAAATAAATGTATCTAATGAAAAAAGGTAAACTGCCAGAATTACTTTCTAGCTCAAACCTTCAGTAAATAAATATATCAATTTTTTGTCTAATATACCGGCTCCTCTGTTGTTCAAAATTAGAAAGTTATCAAAAATAAGACAACATTGTTGTGAGATTCTAGTTTGATTTATTGATATTAATAGAAAATGGCTGATATATATTAAAGTGGACATATCATTAGTTAATTTAGCAAAGAATCAATAATATTAAGAAATGATGGTCATAATTTATCAATTTTTTTTGATCACTTAATAAGAGTATTTTTAATTTAATTTAAATGGCTCTTAAAAGAATAAAGAAAGAATATAGCGATCTCCCTAAAGATTTACCAACTAATTGTTCTGTTTGTCTTATTGATGATTAAGATTTTTATAAATGGAAGGCAACAATCTTAGGATCTGAGGGATCTCTTTACTACGGTGGCCGTTTCAACCTTTAAATAGAAATTCCTATGGACTATCCCTTCAGACCACCAAAAATTTGGTTCTTAACTCGAATATATCATCCAAATATTAATTCACATGGATAATTAAGTTTAGATATATTAAAAGATTCATGGTCTCCTGCCCTAAAATTAAGTAAAAGTAATTGAAACCTATTGATAAACATAGTCCTTTCAGTTATTTGTGAAGTATTGGAAAATCCAAATCCAGATGATCCATTAGATCCAGAAATTGCAAAAATTTATAAATACAATAAACAATTCTTTATACAAAATGTATAAGAATGGATCAAAAAGTATGCAATTTGACATTTCTATTTATAAAGAGAAAACAATTTAAATATCATGTCATCAGTATTTTCTAAAATATAAATATTATATATATTTTATTTTTCTTAGATTTAATTTTAGTGTCTATTGTGAGAAGGTTCAATCTGTATCCTATTTTTATTTAAGAATTTCTATAACTAGTAGTTTTCACAAATCTATTCACTTATACAATCAGATCTAAGGAAACATATCTGAATACATCAGCATAAATAGGATATTTCAAATTA